TGGTACCGCGCTACTCACCCACGGGCATTCAGATTTATTACCCTTGTCGGAACGAATTTGGGGTTAATTCCCCATTAGTGTCGGAGTTTGAGACGGATTCCGGAGTTATCCTTGATAACTCCGGAATCCGCATCACGTGATGGTCGAGGGTGTGGTTTGTAAACTCCGACGTATTACAGGCTGGTAGGGGAAGGCCAGGACGGTTTGTTCACCGAAGTGTGTACGTCATATGGTGTGAGTTACTCGTTTCAGGGAGATGAGAATGAGTACGGCAGATGACGGATTCGACCACCGCAATTCCTGCGGGAGGCTAGTAGGTGAAGAGGAGCAAGGTGAGTTACACCAAGCACTGTGGTCTTGTGTCTCACCACGCACGTGTGAGTCGACGGTGAAGGCTGGTGGCTGGTAGGGGTAACAATCTCGCGTTTGTGCGTACGTGAGCGGTGAGATGACTAATGGTGTATCTTCTCCATGGTTTGTTTCAGTGGTTACCGTGGGACGGCATGTCCGGGGCGGACATGTCGCCAGCCTCATCTGGTGAGCAGATGGAGGAGGAGGCGACGCAGCCGGAGGTGGAAGCTGCGCCGAAGGAGTCGACGCAGCCGGAGGTGGAAGCTGCGCCGAAGGAATCGACGCAGCAGGAAAAGGAAGCTGCGCCGGAGATGACGACGCAGCCGGAGGTAGGAGCTGCGCCGGAAGAAGAGGGGACGACGCAGCCGGGGGAGAAGCTGCGCCGCAGAAGACGACACAGCCGGATGGAGAAGCTGCGCCGCAGAAGGAGACGACGCAGCCGACGGAAGAAGCTGCGCCGGAAGCCGAGGAGGAGGCTAGGGAGAGGGAGCTGCTCGGCGAAGAGCCGATGGAGCTCGGTGAAGGGTGGGACGAGCTGCCATTCGCGGACGAGCTGCTGCAGTCCCCTCCGGCGGCAAGAGCAACCCCAGTGGCAGGGGTCAAGTCGAGTCGCCGGAAGAAGCGCGCCGAGGTCATCAAGACCACTCGTCCGGCGAGCGTGACTCCCATCGTAGAGCAGTGCCCTGCACCAGGGGTTCGGGACGGCCTGCGGGAGCCACCCCACCCTGGTCCCCGGCAAGAGGAAGTCGGGCCTGCCCCAGTGGAGAGGTGGCGGGGCAGGAAGGTGCGGAGAGCGGGCGCGAGTGAAGGAGGGTCCACAACCCCCCCCCCTGCGCCCCGGCGAGAAAGGTGCAGCCGCACATACAGAGGCGCTCCCCCACCAAGACGCAAATCCTGAGGGGGGCGGGTCCGCTGTACGCCCATTTCGGGAGTTGTCGCGACCTCCCTGCGGAACGAGGCCTGGCACTGGTGGTGTGTCCGATGCGGCGTGCCGACCTGGCACGTGGTCGACCACCACGCCGAGTATCATCGGCGGGAGTGCTTGGTCGCTCAGTGGCCGATCCAGGCGTGTGACAAGGCCTACCCAGGCGCGGTGCTCTACCGCCTGTCACACCACCTGGCGGCAGAGCACCGCCTAGGTCGCGTCTACCGGATGGGCACCGACGGGAGGTGGCCGGAGCAACACGCCCGTACCCCTGAGTACAGGGAGTGCGCGAAGGGCTACCTCCGGGAGAAGACGGCGCTATGGCAGAGCGCCAAGAAGGTGGCGCCGGCGTCACCACCAGCCGGCCGAGCCATTCTGCGCCCGGCGCGTAGGGATGCTCGAGCCTACGCACAGGTAGTGGCTGGCACTCCGCCCAGGCCTGTGCCTGTAGACGCGCCTCGGGCCCCCTTGAAGCGGGGGCCGCCCACCGCTGCGCCCCGGAAGGCGAAAGTGCACGCTACCGGCGTAGTGCTGCCTGCCACGGGGCGCACGTCGACTGCCGCGGAGCGCGCGACGTCGGCTGCAGCGAAGCGCGCACCGTCGACCCGGACAGAGCGCGCGACGTCGGCTGCAGCGAAGCGCGCACCGTCGACCCGGACGGAGCGCGCGACGTCGGCTGCAGCGAAGCGCGCACCGTCGACCCGGACGGAGCGTGCGACTTCTGCTGCAGCAAAGCGCACACCGTCGACTCGGACGGAGCGTACGACATCGACGGCAGCAGCGACGAAGCGCGCGGCATCGATGGGGGCGAAGCGTGCGGCGAGACGGGAGGCAGCGTCGGCGAGACAAGCGTCGACTGCAGCGACACCGGCCCCATCAGCTGTGTTGGCTCGGGCGCCCGCGGAGTCATCCGCGTCGACGTTCAAGCCAGCTATGGCAGCTGGGTCGCAGGCGGCCGCCCTGGAGCCGTTGTGCTTGGAACACGTTCCCAGCAGCGACCGGGCCGTGTTCCGGCAATTCTGTAACATGTGGGAAGACTTGCCGGAGGAGGGTAGCGGGGACTGGGACTGTCCGGCGCTCAGCTGCGCAGACGGCACGCCGGCACCAGGACTCGTGCACCAGATGGGGGTGGTGCAGCTAAACCAGGCCGTCGTCTGGGCACACAACCGCCTGCGCCACGCGCGCGTGGTGGAGATCGCGGCCCTGGGTGAACTCAGGAGGAGGACGGAGGCCGTCCTATCCCTGTGGAACCCCGGGGACAAGCCACCCCAGCAGTAGGTGCGATCAAACAGGCCGCCGGTGCACCGCTCGAAAGGCCTTCGGGATCGACAGGACGGTCGATCTTGAAGGGGGGAGGAGTGTAGCGGTGGCACCGGGCCCTCGGGTTCCCAGAGCGGTGGGGGTGGTACCGGGAGCTGGGGAGATGGTGAATGTTTGTTATTGTTTAATTGTTCTGTCCTTGTGCCTGTTTTGTCTCGGGTTTGCTTACCGAGGGTTGAATATCACCAAAGGGGGCCGCCATGTTGGGTGCAATGGTCCCCCCTCTAGCGGCAGAGCACGGCGAAACAGTTGGCCCGGCAGGTCATAGGCGAGAAATCGTCAAGTGGTTCTTGGTAGTTGGCGGGAGGAGCGCAGGAGAGAGGTTGTGATATAGTTCGAGAGAGAGACAAAGAGATAGAGAGTTAGAGAGAGAGAGAGAGAGAGTTATAGAGTGTTGTAGAGAGAGGGAGAGAGAGAGCACCACCGCTTTCTGCCTAGAGCGGCCGTTGGGTGAGTAAAACCCCGTATTGTCCCGTCGTTGTGGGGTGAGTGAATAATACAGTACTATTTAGAGTGAACGTATCGGGTCTGCACAAATAGCGGGGGAGTTAGTCTATTTCGTGCGCGGCTGTACGGGAGGTGAAGCCGTCGGTACCTAACTGTACTGTAGCCCTTTTGCCCGGCTGCGTTCATAGTCTATATTGTGTGTTTAACCTTTGTGTTTACCTTGGGTACACACTTGTTATTCATCGTAACACGAGTCTAACGGGCAGGGGGTGGGAGTTGCCCCGCTGTGTGTGTGTGTGCATGTCGTTACTCGTCCCGCACTGTTGACTAACTACGACACACCGGGACCGAAGCACAGCGGAACCGGTTATTGCGGGAGCGCAGTAGCCTCGAAGCGCTCGGGTGGCTAGCGGGGTCCAGGAGGTGACGATACGGCCGGTTCAACGCCTCCGGGCACAACAGGTGAGTGAAATACCTAAGGTTGTGTGCTAGCCACTAAGTGTCGACCGGTGGTGCCATCGGGTGTCGCCGGAAGACGCTAAATGCTACACGTGGTTTTCGATTCAACCCCGAAAATTATAGATCACCGTGGCAAGTTAGAAAAGCACCATGTAAAACTTTCCCTTTACAGGAAGGGTGCCGGCCCAACTTGCTTTTCACTGGCACTGATTATGTAAGACAGGGAGATGCGATACAAGACACAAGCTGCAATTCATGAGCAATAGTAATTACAGTTTAAAAAAATAGAATGAGAACTCCGTATCAAGACTCTCGCATTTCCGTCAAAAAGCCAAAGAGATGCAACTGCAAATATTCGACGGAAATAAAATTCACAGAAATCCGATCCCCGAATGTTGTACTCGCCACTTTTTTCTTCGGTATCGAATCGAGCAGGTCCAGACCCTTGTTGTCTCCGTCCACGCATCTTTCATCGTTCTCAGCTTCCTCCTCCTGACTCAAGCGCAACTTGTCGGCTACGATCTGTATTGCTGTGATCCACTCCTCTCTGTCGAAACACAGCCATTGTGTTACAGTCCCTGTGTTAGCGTTCACCTCTAATGAACAGTCACCCATAAAAACATATATATATACACATAAGTAGCCTAGCGTTACCCATATATGAAGGTCACCTTCGTCGTTTCCCTCGAGTCGCCGTTATATATAGCGAAACCACCTCTATAAAATGGACACCTGCTTATAAAGGACACTTTGACTTCCCTTGAGTGACCCCTTATAATTATACAGGTTTGATTGTTGGTGCAAACGGAACAGTTAATTTGGCCATAATTATCTTTCAAGATGATGCAAAAGCTCAAGGAACTAATGTTAATTAACTAAACTTAGGATCAGATTATAAATAAATTGGAACTAGTTGATCATTTTCTCATCGCTAAGATGGGGAAACAATTTTTGTCTGCTATTCAACTATTAGCACTGTAGGGAACCCCAGAATAACAACATCACTTAATGCTGCCCCCCACCTCCTATTCAAATATGTCTATGGCTGAACTTAGCCATGACTTACCTGTAGTGATATGTTGTGCAACATGCACAGGCCTAAGAAAAAAAGATGTTTGTTTCCGCTAACAGGCTGAAAAAAATTGGAAACGGTAGGCAGGCCACTCTTTTTTTATCAATTTAAAAAAAATAAAATAACAATACTTGTTTTATACTTATAACAGCCCATATGATGACTTCAAAGTCAAATCAATGCATTCACCGATCGATATCACGTTGGGATTTTCTTTATTTTTTTTAAATATTAAAAAAATACATTTTTGTTTGCCTATCACAATAAAATGTTTCGACACGGCGGTTTAAAATGGACTCCGTCGGGTTAGCGGAAACAAACGTCTTTTTTTTAGGCCACATAAATGTAACTATATTGTGTGGAATTGCCAGGTTTCCTAGATCTACGGTTAAAACTGATATCACAATCCATGCAGCCAGTTGTGTGCTCATGTATACATGCTGTGTGTACGTTTATATCTTACACACCTACTCATACATGTGCATGTACACATGCAAGCACGCACGCACGTGCACGCATACACGCAAACACGTGTGCACATTATGCACGCATGAACACGTGCGCACACACGCACGCGCGTATGCACACAGGCACATGCACACTCGGACACAGTTATAAAGCTTAGCTAATTACAGTATCACATAGCAACTGGCTCTTCACACACCTCTCTCCAGCATTATCTGCGTGGAAGGTTCGTTCAATCACTGTTGTCCACTGTAGACCACGGATAATGAATGTATTTGCCTTTGGCTTGTCTTGCCTCATAATCTGACAACCTGAGAGGGAAGAAAATTGTAGGCTAGCAAGAAATTTAATTGGTTTGAGCTAATGAGAAGACACTACAAAAACACGACTTTACATGTATACTAATAATGTCTCATTAAACCAAGTGCATTGCGTGGACCAAATGCATCATTTTAATGTTTGTCAAGTTGAATATCAAAATTTTGTTTCAAAATTAAGGGCATGAAGATTACAAACCAGGACAAAACAGACATCATGCCATATTTCATGATTCTTTAAACAATAAATTACGTAATACAGAGAGCGAATGACTAATGCTGCTCTCAACATATTTTTTACATATACACTTTTCTTTTAGATTATTGGCTGTACTACATTTTCAGTAGAACTCGTATTAGCAGCTTGGTCGTCAGTTAGTCTTGCTGAACATTGCTTATAGGGTCTATGTCCCCAGGGTACTGCCGGAACGTACCCTGGGTACGGTCCGGTATACTGGAACAGACCCTGTTAACTATTTGATATGGTTAGGGTTAGGGTTAGGGTTAGGGAGTAGGCGTAGGCAACTCCCTAGACTCGTTAGTGGAGTAGGCGAGGTACGGTCCGCCATATTAGATAGTACCAGGGTACGTTCCGGTATACCGGCAGTACCCTGGGGGACATAGACCCTCTCAGCCTTACTGTTATGTGGCTCATATCAACACAGGCTTTCTAAACTTCTAAGAAATTCCAAAAGCTTAAAAACAATGCTTGGTTACCAATATGCAGTTTTGGTTTACTGTAATTATCGGACAATTAAGTGTGTCATCAGATCTGCAGATCAAACGTCTCATGGATTGGGAGCATAGACATTTCCCCACAAATTCCATTAAAACTTTTATTAAAGGAATAGGTCCATTGATTATGCAATGTTGACGAATACTAGAGTAACTGGCACCTTGTGTAGTTAATAAGTACATTACCTTATAGCCAAACGTGTATTAGTTTGTCCAATATCACTGCTGGTTACTAAGAAATGTCCAATTGAAATCCGCAGTCCAAAAATCAGTTGTTTGCAGTTTCAAACCGCTGCCGGCGAAGCGGGTGTGATACAGATTTATAGTGCACCGGACATTTACAGACATTTTTTTTTTTAGACACACTAAACATGGACGCTCGTGATAAGGAACTTTTTGTCAGGGCTGTCCACGTGCGTCCGTGATTAGTACGCGTGTTTTACTCTATTTCCATGTTTAGTCCGTGGCCGTGGTTACACCGCTGACACCTCCGTTTCATCTGGCGTCCAAAACATACGGGCCGCACAAATGTTTACGTCATCGCTTGACTCCTGGATGACATTTACGGCACGTAAATGATACGTTGATACATATCAACAACCGATTTCAAGTCTTGTTTGTAATGTAACCAGCAGTGATATTGGACAAACTAATGCGCGTTTGGCTATAAGGTAATGTATTTATTAACTACACAAGGTGCCAGTTACTCTAGCATTCGTCAACATTGCATAATCAATAAATCTATTATTCCTTTAACCAGAACAGTTCATTAATGTTTTTGTACTGCAATTAAAGCAATCAGCAATTTCAATGACAAATAATTACCAATTATTTCATGAAACTGTCAAACAAGTATTACCCCGAACCTCTCTCCTAGCACATCAATAGGTCTAAACTTATTATTGCACCAGTCATGCCTACAGGTTAAATCTCTTGGTTAAATCTAACCTTGAAACAATGTAAGTCATAGATTTCGCATAGATACGATTAAAGTGGAGTGCATACACGTTGGTTGGGCACATGGGTAACAAAAGAAAAAGATGATGCATGGTTTAATAAATACAAGTTTGTGAGATTAAACATTTTTTACAAACCATTATAAACTCCAAGTTTGCAATATTTTTTATCCAATATATCACATGAAAGACAAGTTTGTAAACTAAAACAAGTTTCTCACCCAATGACCCAATGACCAACATATATTTGACCTTATAATTACTGTCCCAACTCAGTCTTAAATGTTGAATATGAAAACCACGACTACTGCTACCTCAGGATATTTTAATAATGGGATAACATGGACTGATGACAAAGAAATTAAACATATTACCACTGTCTGTGTCCTGCATAGGAGCTTACATAGAATAGACCAAAATAACTTTGGTATTTTTTACAGAATATAATTAATTACACACTATACATTATGAAATGCATGAAAGTTTCAGATAATAGAGCTGTCACTTCACAGATTTGTGCAGAATGAAACCATAATCATGATAACCGACTCAAAAAATTAAATACTTCAAATGAACGTACCCTTGACTGTGAAGTTATTTAATGGATCCTCTAGACCCTGACCTGGTTCCTTTTTAAACCCTATTAGTGTGCCATCTTCAAATAGTATCATGTAACGCTGCCTCCAATTACGAATATGTTCACCTGAAATTTAATTAATATGGTTAATTGCTACTAATGACAAGATACATCTGTGCATGTGCTGTACATAACCGTTCACTACCACAGATAAGGTCTATGTCTACCTGACCTCTGTTTGACCTGGCTCGTTTAGCTATTTCTGACTAACCCTAACCCTGGTAACTATCTGATATGGTTAGGGTTAGGGTTAGGGTTAGTCAGAAATAGCTAAACGAGCCAGGTCAAACAAAGGTCAGGAAGACATAGACCCTACGGGCTTCACTACCCACTAAAACTTATGAACCAATTTCATTTTAAATTAAACATTACAACATGCATGTAAAAAGCACATTCACATACAGATTCAATATAGCAGAATAATATAATAAGGTTTTTGTAGGGTTTATGCAATATTTACTATTGAAACCAGTAAATAAATGAATACAACTTACCTCTCTTGTAGAGAAATCCTTCTTTGATAATTTTTCCTTTGGGTTGAGCTATCTTGTTTTCTGTATCTGCCATTTCCAAGGCTTTGAGCTGTATTAAAATGAGGTCATCCTGTTAGTGGTAGCAATTTCTAACATCTACATTTCCTTCGTTTACAATAACATCTAAATCCCTCCACCCAGCATGATGTGAAGGGTTGCCGATAACTTTGTTGACTATGCAATACAGGCACTTAAAACTAGACTCCCCTTTTCAGGGTTTTTTTCTGAGAGAAAATTAGACATAGAAGAGGAGGTACAGGGGGTTGTCTTCCTCCCGCCTCCCTCCCCCTCTCCTCCTGTCTCCCTCCCTCAACACCTCCAGGATCTTTTATATTTTGCGTTTTCTTTTTTGAATGTCACGTAGTTTCTCTGACAGTTTGCGTAATAAATGTATTTATCCTGTACAATGTATTTTCTCATGTATTCATTTCCGGTGCTATATGGATTTCTTTTATTTTTCTCTACTTAGTATATACTCTCTCTCTCTCTCTTTCCCCAATAGTTTGTTTTGGATGTAAATCCTCCCGCCCACTGGCCTCCCTACTCCCGCTCCTTCCCCTCCCGCTCCCCTCCCCCTTTTCTCCCGTCTCCCGCCCCCTACTCTGCCGTCTCCCGTCCCTCCTTCTCCTGTACCCCCGCCCCCCCCCCTGTACCCCCCTCATAGGAGGTAATGGCTTGTTTGGGAAAAAAACATGCATGATGGATTCAAAGGCATGCCGTAGGCACGCATGCGGATGCAATAAACGCACATGGCAATCTAAATATGCCAGAAGCACGTGGGGACTGGTCACTGGTGATTTATTTATTTTAGGGTTGACACTATTTTGACAACGGCGAGTAAATACAGGAACATTTTCACAACGGCGATGTTAAATTTGACAATGGGGGTGCGCTACTGTGCCTCTTATGTATAAGAAACCCTGCTTTACTTTAAAAGTTAATTACTTGAAGTTGATCAAAGGTGGTTTCCAAGCTAGTAAAGCAGCTCTCTGCATATACCACACAAATGAATATAGGCTGGACCTCGATGATCTACCATCTGACAGTCTGGCACCATCAGTGGTCCGGCAAGAATTAAATGCAGCGGTCCGTAATTTGTGGGGCTATCGCTTGGTGGCGCCACCGTTTCCCGCGATATAACCAGGCATTGTTTACGTGTGATTGTTACTCCAATTTGTCTGTGCTCATTTCTGGGTATTATTTATCCTTCAATGTTGCCACACAATAAGTGGCGAGGTATTGTTACTTTATGTGTTATTTAAATGACCTAATGTTAAAATTGCCAAATTTACGCAACAACTTACTAAAAATTTGTGACTCAAGCGTTAAAAGTGCCGTTTTTGAAAAATGTAGCCAGCCAACTACCCATAGCACATGGTGGAGATTTGTATACACACATTTTAATCACGTATAGTAGATGAAACAGGCACCGTTTATCTCGACCCACGCACCAATTTGGCTCACATTGTGGTGAGTTTACCTGCCTTGAGGTCGGCCAGCTCGACTTGCGAGTATAGTACAAGTCTACACGTACATCTTAGTGTATACACTATAGTACTGTACTGTAGGCAACTGGTCAGTAACAGACCATCCAGACTGCACCAACTGTATAATAAAGTAGGAGCAACCCCTAGGGTCAAAACATTGCACAACCAACCCTGCATATAAGCATCCCTCAAGGGAAATGCCACGAGTAAACCCTTTATAGATAGCTATCTATTCTATCAGGGTATCCGCTATTATAGAATGATGTGCAGGTGTGGTGGTTACGGAACTTCACAACTTTAAACTGTGAAGTATAATAACATTTTGATTCCGGAGACATTGCTTTGCAATTTGCTTCGTAAATTTTCAGGTAGTCAATTAAATATTTTTTATCAATTGCGACAGCTGACGCTGTATATAGGAAATATGCATATATAAGAAAATATGGTGAAACAGATTTCAGTGTGTGACAGGGCCCATTAACATGTAATTAAGTCTTTTGTTTTGAGACAGTTTACACCCTGTAAATGTTGCTAAATTCAATAAAAAGAACACAACTTGTAACAAGGATGTGCACGCATTATACCTAGACTATCAATCCCAGCTGTGACATCAGCACAGCATTATTACTGACGCAAGCACTGACAGTGACAAAACGTGGAAGGTGTCAGTGACAGTATCATACAGCAACCCAAAGACTCTACTGCACCGCGACCATCTGCGTAACACGGAGAGAGGCAAGAGTATGCAGGTGGTGTAGGCTAATGACATGTACGGTGTACTACAAGTGTGAATATATTAAGTACGCATCCGATGAACGATGGACGGGCAGCGACTCGGTGACAACGTGCGACTGAATTCCTAACCTTGGGTATCAGCGCATTACGAGATAATAAGCAACCCGCCAGCAATTTTATCTATTTACCTTCCTTCTTCAGATTCCTGTTATCATACGTCTAACATTTGTCGTTTTTATAGTAACAAGAACAACTAATAAAGCTTCATGAATTATACTGTCTGGGTTGGCAGTAACATCACGACCACAAGTTGTTGATTTGTCTGGCAATGACGTCATAGTCTCGCGAGATTGCGATTTGCGAGAGTCCGCCACGCGAATTCATTCATCACCACGAAACGCACGTGTTGGTATTTGCGAGTTACCTTGTTACTTGTATTAAAATGTATAATATAATAAACGTTTGCACTTTTGCATGTTTATCAATTGTTGCAACTGTAATAACCTGACAATGAACCCACCGTTACCCACGTACAAAATGAAACAAACTGACATAGAGCCTATATATTATTATATATTTATTATTATTATATAGGTCACGACATATATATATCACAAAGTTATTGAGTAGGTACACGTTATAAAACATATTATATAATTAAAACACGTTAATGAACGAATTGAATTAGGTACAGCAATACCCTACAATACGTAGGGAGAAGAGAAGATACCCGAGGGGCGGTAGCAGCAGAGAGAGGTTGAGCGAGGGACAAGGGAGGCAAGAGGAAGGGCGGGAGGGGATGAAGTAGGAGTTTTGCACCCTACAGGCTAGGGCGCTCTCCTAATTATAAACACAGGTCCACTGATAACAGTTGATTATATAAATCTATGCTAAGATACCCCCTAGAACCATAATAAATGCGTAATCATCACAAAATACAACTCCTCTCGTGAGGTATTGCGCATGCGCTAACACACTAACATAGCCAGATTGTCTACTGATTGGTATATGCAGCGGGGAGCTTACATGTAAGGTCTTCGTCCTATTTCTTAAGTGAGGTCTGCTGATGGAATTTTATCATATAAATCTATGCTAGGATAACTCCTCGTCATTTTAAATGCATAAACTTTGCAAAATATTCTTCTTCTCGGGAGATATTGCGCATGCGCGTGCACCATTTCAGGCGTGCAGTACGTACTAAAGAAAACTGCACAATATAGCTTGCTGAGTGAAAGAGGGGTGCGAGACTGAGGAAAGGCTGAGAGAAGAGAGCTGAGGGGCGGTAGAAGAAGGAGGAGAATGAGCGAGGGACAGGGAATTTAGGCAAAGGAAAGGGCGGGAGGGGATGAAGTTAGAGTTTTGCACCCTACAGGGTAGGGCGCTCTCCTAATTATAAACACGGGTCGACTGATAACAATTTATTACATAAATCTATGCTAAGATAGCCCCTAACCATAATGAATGCCTACTCATCACAAAATATAACTCCTCTTGTGAGATATTGCGCATGCGCTAACACACTAACGTAGCCAGATTGTGTACTGACTGGTATATGCAGCGGGGAGCTTACATGTAAGGTCTTCGTCCTATTTTTTATGCGAAGTCTACTGATAAAATGTTATCATAGAAATCTATGCTAGGATAACTCTTCTTCATTTTAAATGCATAATCTTTGCTAAATATTCTTCTTCTCGGGAGATATTGCGCATGCGCGAGCACCGTTTCAGGCGGGCTGTATAGGGCCTACGTACTGAAGAAACAACATAATATAGCTTGCTGAAGGAGAGAGGGGTGCGAGACTGCGGAAAGGCGGCGGAGAAGAGAGCTGAGGGGCGGTAGAAGACGAAGGAAGCTGAGCGAGAGACAAGGAAGGCAAGGGGAAGGGCGGGAGGGGATGAAGTAGGAATTTTGCACCCTACAGGCTAGGGCGCTCTCCTAATCAACAACACAGATCCACGGATAACAATTTATTACATAGATCTATGCTAATATACCGCCTAACCATAATAAATGCATAATCATCACAAAATATAACTCCTCTCGTGAGATATTGCGCATGCGCTAACACACTAACATAGCCAGATTGTGTACTGACTGGTACATGCGGCGGGGAGCTTACATGTAAGGTCTTCGTCCCATTTCTTATGCGAGGTCTACCGATGAAATATTATCATATAAATCTATGCTAGGATAACTCCTCTTCATTTTAAATGCATAATCTTTGCAAAATATTCTTCTTCTCGGGAGATATTGCGCATGCGCGAGCACCGTTTCAGGCGGGAAGTACGTACTGAAGAAAACTGCATAATATAGCTTGCCGAGGGAAAGAGGGGTGTGAGATTAAGGAAAGGCGGCGGAGAATAGTATGCAGTGGGAACCTTACATGTAAGGTCTTCGTCCTATTTCTTAAGTGAGGTCTATTGATGTAGTTTTATCATATAAATCTATGCTAGGATAACTGCTCTTCATTTTAAATGCACACGAATCCCATCTCGATTACCCGCAATGCGGAATGGATATTATCAGGAGTAGATAATAGGGAACAGGAGGAAGACAGGAGGGGACAAGAGGAAACAGGAGTAGATTTCCTATTATCTACTTCTGATATAATATATTTTTTTCCTTGCCGTTAGTTGGCGCTAGTGTCGCCCAGAAGTAATGTGGGATGCTAAATATATTCACATGTAACTTCATTAAAATTATTCACCTGTAATCAGCCCGTACAGTGGCGTAGCCTGTAGCCAGCAATTTGGAAACAGGGGGGGCCAAGGCGAGGGAGCGAAGCGACCGAGGGGGTAGGGTGTGGGAGGGGTACTCCGCCCTCCCAACGGTAAGGGAGATTTTTGAAAATCGTGCATGAAAATGGCATTTTCTGCACACTAAAATCATATTAGGGTAACTTATAAATGAGAAGTCACATATCTAATCCGCTTATAACGCCCCCTCCCTCGCTTTTTATTTTTCCACTCCATCCGATCAACGTGGGACGATGGCCCTGGCTGTGGCGCCGGAAGGCCTCTGAGTTACACACGACCAGTTTGTGGACCCTTAGCTAACCCAGTGAAAATGTGTATCGAAGCCACGTGT